CCAAGGCAAGATACTATTCCTTTAACTTCCAATTACCGAGGGAACCAATTAATATTGATTTTATTCAACTTATCGAGAATCTTTAAAGGGACCGGGAAAAAATGTTCACTTTATCGAGAGATTCGTTAGACAAACCTTTACTCGGGTAAAACCCGGGCGAAGCCGGGTACGTCCGCTAGTTATAAATATAATAATTTAAAACTATTCAATAAATAATTCCTTGTATGAATATTAGAATGGGAATATCAAACCTCCAGAGGCCTTGCCTTGCACTTATTGTTTGCGAAAGAGCATTGCTCGATGCAAATATTTATATGTAATTCTACTGTCCTAGAAATCTATAGGTTAGGATCAGACATGACGTAGCTACGCAATAATATTTGAAATGAAGGCGATAAAAACGTGGTGACTTTCTTTTAATGGTAAAAACACAAGCTTTCAGGCAAGAATGCCCTTCCTCAGGTTATACCCCAATACTCCGTTGTTTTACCTCGCCAATCCCCCCAGCTGAACTATTTACCTACTATATTGGGCTATCTTTCATATCCATAGTTTTAAAATATTTCCAAGTTGTAACCTGAAGAAGGGCATTCGTGCCTGAAAGCTTGTGTTTTTACCATTAAAAGAAAATCACCACGTTTTTATCTCTCGCCTTCATTTCAAACCTATAGGTTGCTCATAACTATAGTTTACTCAATAGCTAAGAATCCATTCTACAGTTTGTGTGTGTTAGTTAAATATCTGTAGAGTTAATTAATAATAAACCAAGCCCTCCCACTATTTTTCCATCTCAGCATGGACAGTTGAAATTTGTTTTATTTTATTTTTACATCAAGAAATGTCGATCACAAAAGAGCTGTCAACACTATTTTGAAAACAAAAATAGCTTGTCCATTAAACCTTTCCTTAAGTATTCTTTCCACAAGAGAACGGATGCTCTGTAAGTTGTCAACTAAGGTATAAGTAAAGAAAACGAGTCCGAAGTGGATTCTACGACATGCTGTCAATATTTAGTTGTCAAATCATCAATGTTCTGGAATGTATTTTACCTGGTGCCTGAGCGATCTTGTCTGGAGCTTCCAAGAGGATCTTGCCGTCCAAGTCCAAGCAGGGCATCATGTCTTGTTCGAACACCACAAGGTCCTCCTTTCTGATGCCGAAGTAATGATGGTTCTGGAAGAAGTTGATAGTCGGCTGCATGGTATGGCCGCTTGTCATGACATACCTGCCACCGCAGTCAAATATTGGCGACACAATTCAACACGACCATTCAATATGTAACTTGGATGATCGCTTTAAATGTACAACATCGTAAGGTGACAAGTTTCTTGTAGGGCTTTTTTTATTATTATAATTTAGTCAAGCTTTTGAGTATTTCTGCTCTTCTACAGGAGCAAAAATGTTCTCATGTTTACTCCTATAGAAGACCAGAAATACTTGAAAACTTGACTGAATAAAGTAAAAAAACCCTATAATAAATTCTTCGCCCCACGAATTTGTACTTTTAATACTTTGTAACATCGATTGATAAACCCTGTACGATTTATAAATGAATAAAACAAAGCTTCGAGGGCTGCGTATCTTTTATTAGAACGAATATAATACTAGCTTTCGGGCACATACGCCCTTCTACAGGAATTAATGAAACAATAATCCGACTAGTTTTTGAAATAGGTTTTATATACACGTAACTATTGTTTTGTAACATGTATGAGTTTATAACGAATGAAGTCATTAAGACGCGTATGTTTCTTTTCAAACAAACAACAACAAAAAGTTTTTATTTAGGGTCACTGATCCTATACAGGATTCACCAGAGGTATGCATAAGAACAAAGCAGTGAGACAAAGGAAACAACGATATAGACAGAAGAAAAAAAAACAAGAAAGAGAAAGAGGGAAGCAAGAAAAACAACACAAAAAGAGTAGCAGTAAGAAAGTGAGGAATGAGTGTCACTTGGCCTTCTTCTGAGATATGGACTTGTGGAAACAATAAAATGCCGTAGCAATATACTTATTCTGGTTCATATTGTCAATTATTGATGGAAGTGAAGCGTATGTTTCTTTTCACAAATAAATCAAACTTCTACTGTGCCCTTACTGCGAAGAAAAAAAAATATAACAGTTTGTGAAAAGAAATATTCGCGTCTTAATGTCTTCATTGGTTATAAATAGATGGCGCGTTATTTCTATGTATTTATGTAGGAGTATACACTGAGTTCTATATTCCCTAGTAGAAGGCACTAACCCTTGTTCTAGTGTTAATCACAAAATCAGGTTGTATTTTTTGTCCTTCATTTTTGAAACTGAGTTGACATATTTACATGTATTATTTTGGTAACATGTTAATAATTCTTGATTTACAGATGAGTTTATCATAGATAATGTAATATGTGGTACATTTCTTTTTATATCGTTTACTAGCCGAATGACCCGGGCAACGCCCGGGTTTTACCCGATTAAATACTTTTATTCAAATACTATTCGTTACAATTATAAATTGGCACCGTGGATGTCATTCTTGTATAATATATAAATGAGTTTTAAAAATTGTAAAAAAAAAAAAAATGCATCGGCCGGGAATCGAACCCGGGCCGCTCGCGTGGCAGAAGAGCATTCTACCTCTGAACCACCGATGGTTATGAGAAATGGCCATATTTGGGTATTTATTCCATTCACAAAAGCAAACGGTGACAGAAATGATTAAGAAAGAATTGATTATGACGCTGATAACTGTATATATTAATTACTGCAACATGTTGATTTATTATATGAGCTAGATAATGAACAAAAATCTTTAAATCTCTATATAAATAGTTGTAGTGTCTTCATACTTCTTGTATTTATATGGCTACCACGGAGATAAAAACAAAGGAAGTCCCAATGTTTTTTTGCTTATCCCTAGTACACGTGCTACAGGCCATGATAATCATGGTGGGTAGAAGTAGGCGACTACTTTTACTGTAAGTGCATTACGTGTCTACTATACATGTTAAAAGTAGTTCGACTTTGCACTTACAAAGTCCCCATGGTGACATCACCTACCAGGGAACAGTTCCTGACATCCCGGTGTGTCGGGCGGCCAGATTCTGCAGACTAAGGATCCTCTCGGCCTGCAGCTGGAAGAGAGATTTACCGGACAGTAGTCCTACGTCCACCATGCCCTTGGGGTAGGGCACACCGAGCCGTGTCCCCTGGCCTCCTGCCAGTAGCAGAGCGGCTACTTTACCTCCAGCCACGGCGCGCAGACCTGTCAACACACGCTAGCTCAGTCAGACAACAGCTACCGACCTTTGACACCAAGTTACAAACTTCTTTTTCCATAGAAGCATAGGGCGCCTCTCCCGTCAAAACCTAACGCCACTTATTGACCGTCGCCGCTAACTAGCGGCCTCGAGTCGGTGACAAAGCCACAACACCAGCTTTGGCGAACTAAGAAGCATCTACCTAGAGACCATGGTTTCGGGCTAATGGCCCTCGTCAGCCTAGGGCAGACTTTAATCTATGAGATTCACACGGGATCTAATGGAATCTTCACAATCCGCCAAAGAGGTATTCTTTTGTACTTAAAAACCTGATTTAATAATTATTTAACACTCATGGACAAAACTTAAGGAAGTTGTACCTTACAGCATGTATAAAAGATTCGGACAATAATTCTGAAATATATTACAGTGACCTTTTTGAAGACACACGAGATAACCAAATGTGAACAAAATTTCCTATGTCTCCTTTAAAAAAATATAGATAACCGGCGACATCAAAGACTTTCCACTTTCTTAAGTTTTGTCCATGAGTGTATACTATTCTTCTATGATACTTATATATAGCTACACACACTTCTATTAAACTTCTATAACTATTATAATATTTAACTTTTTTTAAATAGAGCAATCCATACTTAAAACATTATATAATAAAAAGGCATATATTGGATTGAATAAAAGATTTATTTGCCAAAATTCTGGTTGGCGTTCAGCTATGAAAGCTTTTTATTTTCTTTATGTTTCGACAAAAAATATGTAAGGTTGTCCCAAAAGTTCATTTGTTTTCTTAAAACGATATTTTACTTATTACTTGGCGAATAATATTATTACGGCAACTATATAATAATACATAATACAATTACTTTATACATAATACAAAACATTAATATATACAGTTATCAGCGTCATAATCAAGCAACAATTCTTAATCAATTCTGTCACCGTTTGCTTTGTGAATGGATTAAATACCCAAATATGGCCATTTCTCATAACCATCGGTGGTTCAGTGGTAGAATGCTCGCCTGCCACGCGGGCGGCCCGGGTTCGATTCCCGGCCGATGCATTTTTTTTTTTTTTTACAATTTTTAAAACTCATTTATATATTATACAAGAATGACATCCACGGCACCAATTTATAATTGTAACGAATAGTATTTTAATAAAAGCATTTAATCGGGTAAAACCCGTGCGTTGCCCGGGTCATTCGGCTAGTTATACATAACGGCAAATAATATTGGTATTTCAATTTTTTGAAAGTGTTTACGAACTTTTGGGACAATCTTGTATATAGATGTTGTACTAAATTTTGAAAAATTGCATGAGAAACCCCTTGCAATCCTAGATACATTTATAACGCCTTGCTAAATGCTTTTATTTTTATTTTTTCCTGAATAAGACAAAATATTTTTGTCATAACGTCGAGAAAATAAAAAGATTTTCTGGTCAAAGTGCTTTTTATTTTAAAGAACTGTAAATGTTGGCCAAGGCAGCCTTTATCTTCAAGGCATTTAAATGTAATTGGGAAAACTTTGAGAGAAAGAGAGATATTGAGATTTAAATATACTTTTATTAATCGTACATATGAAATTACTAGCTGAATGACCCGGGCAACGCCCGGGTTTTACCCGATTAAATGCTTTTATTCAAATACTATTCGTTACAATTATAAATTGGCGCCGTGGATGTCATTCTTGTAAAATATATAAATGAGTTTTAAAAATTGTAAAAAAAAAAATGCATCGGCCGGGAATCGAACCCTGGCCGCCCGCGTGGCAGGCGAGCATTCTACCACTGAACCACCGATGGTTATGAGAAATGGCCATATTTGGGTATTTATTCCATTCACAAAAGCAAACGGTGACAGAATTGATTATTAAGAATTGTTGCTTGATGACTCTGATAACTGTATATATTAATATATAGAGTTAATAGGAGGAAAAAGTAAAATTAAATATTAATTTCATCAGAGGAATCCCACTGATGGTCGACTGGTATAATGTCACATTATACTGAAGTCGGAGAGATCAGACTTCTCCCCGACATGTGATATTGCCATGTCGAGGAATTCCAATTCCTGAGTTCCAATTGAAATATCGAATATTATTTTAAACCCAGTAGATCAAGTTAAGATATTAGGCATAAAATTAGGCATAGTATATATATATTTTTTTCTCTTCTTGTTTCGATTACTTTTTTTTTTTTGTGTGTAATATGTTTATAACTGTTTCTGTTTAAAAAAATGTAAATCGACGCAATTATCCCTAGCCGGGATATCGCGTTTATGTGTTGAAATAAATAAATAAATGTCGAGGAATAGCTTCAGAACAGATCTCTGCTCAGGTGACAGGTACTCGTCCTCCCTGTTAGAAGGGGAGACTGTCTCCTCCCTATAATAGCTTTCATAAAGAGGTTCTAGGATGGTGTTGGCATTCAAGCTCTCGAACAACTCCTCTACCTGTTGTAAAGTGGTCTGATGAGGCTGTTTCTCTTGGAGCTCTAGTGTGGATTGGATGGTTGGTACATTCTTTGAATGAGTCTCTTTGGAAGATACCTCTGTTGGTACAGCAGTGGTCGAGGAATGCGCTGGCAGAGACGGCACCGGTACAGAAGGCACAATGACTGGAGTTATCTGGGGAGGGACGGAACAGTTTGCTGCAGGCAAAGCCGAGGAAGAGCTGGAAAGTACCAAGGAGGTCTTCTGGATGGTGTCAGAACCCCTCGCAGCCGATGTAAGCGCTGTGGAAAGAGAATGAGACAACAACTCCAGCTACTGAATGTTTACCAGACGGTAGAATTCATAAAGAATAAATATTTTAATCTGTGTTTTTTTTTTAATAACGAGGAATCTGTGGCGTCAATTGATAACTCACGGTGGATAATGGATATTCCATCTCTCAGTCCTGATTCAACAGTAGATATTTATCCATCAGTATTGACGCGATTCTCGCATGAAGGAAGGTATCCCAACTCCCCTAATTATCTTTTTTATCGTATTATTAATTTTTTTCAAGAGTATATAATAAACAATGAACTAAATGTATTAAACCCATTTGATCTAATTTCAACAAAAGACAAATTTATAAAAATTCAACTCATTTTGCAGACTTATTTTGAATTTTATAGAAAATTACCAAATTTCTTTGGAACGCTTTTATTTAGAACTCTGTTTAGCATAGTTTTTTAATTGAATAATTCTCTAATATCTTGCATATTTTCATTCTAAAATATTCTTAAAACTTTCTTCAATCTGTAAATTGTTTTCCTCGAAAATACACAATACTTTACAATTTGATTTCATTTAACTAAATTTGTATACCAACCCTTTGTACATTTGTGTTGATATATTTTTTTCTCTTTTAATCTAACTTTCATTCTAATTCTTGTACATATTTCAAATATATTTCTTTCTTTTCTTTCAATGTTTAGTTTACCTTTAAAGGGCAAGTGTCCCTAGAGGGACATAGAGCTCTAAGTCAAAATAAGTATTATTAATAATTTAAAAAAAAAAACAAAAAAAAAAAACAGCCAGCCCCTTTGGAGTAGGGAAAAAGTTGCATAGTTTTTGTAACCTGCGCCAAGTTCTTGAGGAAGGCACGTCAAATGGAAAAAACTAAGGAAAAAATGGACGCTCACATCAAGGACAAAGTTTTTTGGTTCTCTTTCATATCTTAATGGTTTGGTTTCTTCAGTAGGGTAGATCGCCAGTGAATTCTACTTTTTGTTTCATTTATTTTTGCAACTCTTTGTGTTTTTTAATGAAATTTTTAGAATGGTTTTGAAGATTTTATTTTTTTCATTTGGATTTCGTTTCTGAAGGCAACAAATAGAAAATCAAAAGATAATTCAGATTTTACTCTGAAATTTGTCGAAGACAATTTGTGTTTTTATGTGGGATTGTGAGCGTTTTTATGTGTGCTTGCGGGCGTTCTTGTCTGTGTTTTTATGTGTGCTCGCGGGCGTTCTTGTGTGTGCGATTGTGGGTTTTTATGTGTGCTTGCGGGCGTTCTTGTCTGTGTTTTTATGTGTGCTTGCGGGCGTTCTTGTCTGTGTTTTTATGTGTGCTTGCGGGCGTTCTTGTGTGTGTTTTTATGTGCGATTGCGGGTGTGCTTGTGATTGTGTGGGTTTTTATGTGTGCTTGCGGGCGTGCTTGTGTGTGTGTGCTCGTAAGTGTGCTTGTATATGAGCTTATATGTGCTTGTGTGTACATGTATGAGTGCTTGTGGGTACATGTATGAGTGCTTGTGTGTGCTTGTTTATATGACCGTGTGTTTTGATTGTGTATGTTCTTGTGTGCGTGCTTGCGTGTGTTCTGTGTGTTTGTATGCACACGTACAAGTAGGGCGATAAATGGTCGAAAACACAAGTTGATAAGGTGATTTCACTTTAGCAGAATTCATCAGCCAAAATGGCCTACGTCTCTACGCATTATCATATACACTCATGGACAAAACTTAAGGAATTGGAATGTATTTGCTGTTGCCGGTTGTCTATCTTTTTATTTTTAAGGAGACAGAGGCAATTTTTTCCCGTTTAGTTATCTCGTGTCTTCAATAATGGTCACTGTGTATCAAATATCTTCAGAGTTATTTTCAGAATCCCGATATACATGCTAAAAGGTACAACTTCCTTAAGTTTTATCATGAGTGTATCTTATACATTGTTTCTTTTTATTATTAGATATCCCATGTCCTTCAGAGTACCTCATGAAATATCTATTATAAAATAATGCAAAAATTGAAGGTTGTCCGACGACCACGACCATCTTAATCTTCAAGTCCGAAATCGCCAACTTTAAATTTCTGAAACAATCTTCTTGTGGTTCTTTCAGAAGAACAAGCTTCTCCTCAGGCCTCAATAATTATTTTGGTTGCCTGGGCACCGAACGTCCAAGTTTAAATTTGTGAAGCAAAATAATGCGCAAATTCCTAAGTTCCCTTGCTCAATATTTTAAATTATAGAGATTTTTATCCTTCGTGAAATTTTCGAAAGAATGACTGCACGTGAATGCGTGTGCTGTGAGTTTTAGAGCAATATTTAATTTGCATGTGTTGCCAAATTATTTATGTTTTTTTTCTTTTCATTTCAAAAATGTGTTTCCAAAAAACAGCCATTATTTATGGGACATCCTGATATATTCTTCCTTAAACTAATTTCTATAGGACAATGGTCAAATTCTTATTAAAAGATACAAATTGATATTTGCGGAAGAGCGATTGCTCGAAGCATATTATACGTTTATAATTGTATGTAATTCTGCTGTCCTCAAAGCTTATGTTCATAGTTCATCTAAAATACCCATTCCAAGAGAGTCTATCAGTATCACTATAAAAAAGGAAGATCTAAAAATGCAATATAACAGCGGTATGGTAGATTAAACTGGCGAAACCGCTGGGAGGGATCACCACTAATGAGCCAGGCCATCCCATTAATTTTTCCATTGCAGTAAGGACAGTAGAAATTGTTTAATATTTAAAAGAATCTTACACGTCTATAATAGTTTCTAATTTTGATTACAGATGGCGCGCTAATCTATCTTATTAATACAGTTGATACAATGTTACTCTGATGTTATCCAAGGTGCAGAGAGATTGTTGTTCTTTACTAACTAAGGCTAAGTCGTCTAGACCGCAGCGATGTGAAGTCCAACTGTTCGTGTTTCTCACATCCAGATGTAACCTCACGCTTTCAAATTGCAAGTTTCTAAAAAAAACATTAAAATATACAAGTATCAGAGTCATCAATCAATTCTTAATTCTGTCACCGTTTGCTTTTGTGAATGGAATAAATACCCAAATATGGCCATTTCTTATAACATCGATGGTTCAGTGGTAAAATGCTCGCCTGCCACGCGGGTTCGATTGCCGGCCGATGAATTTTTTTTTTTTTTACAATTTTTAAAACTCATTTATATATTATACAAGAATGACATCACGGCGCCAATTTATAATGGTAACGAATAGTATTTGAATAAAAGCATTTAATCGGGTAAAATCTGGGCATTGCCCGGGTCATTCGGCTAGTCCTTATATAACCATCACTTTATCAGCAATGCCATATCTTGAAGACATTGTATTTATTCCAATAACTTAAGACAAAAGTATTGTTAACATTTTGAAGTTTTATATATTTTAAATAGGATGGATCATCGCATCATCTGTTAAAAGTTAAAAAGAAAACAGCATATTGCAATACTGTTGAGAGAGAGGTACGCTGCTGGAATCTTTTGGTTTACAAGTCACATTTTTAATTTACTTGTTTTGGTTACATCTTTTCTCATGAATTTAATTGTAACTTTTTACAACTTATTTATTTTTACAACAACAACAAAAAGCCTTTATTCAGGGTCACTGACCCTATACAGGATTCACCAGAGGTATGCATAAGAACAAAGCAGTGAGACAACGGAAATAACGATATAGACAGAAGAAAAAGAAAAAAAAAACAAGAAAGAGAAAGAGGGAAGCAAGAAAAACAACACAAAAAGAGTAGCAGTAAGAAAGTGAGGAGTGAGTGTCACTTGGCCTTCTTCTGAGATATGGACTTGTGGAAACCATAAAACGCCGTAGCAATATGCTTATTCTGGGTCATATTGTCAATTATTAATGGAAGTGAAGCACAGAGTTGCCCAGTTTTGAGCATAAGGGTTCTTCTTTCTTCTTTCAGAGCAGAGCAATCAAAAAATATAGTGAGTGATTTCATTTTCTAGTTTTGAATTACAGAAAACTTTTTACAACTTATTTATTTTTATTAACTTCCATGTATAATATTTTTACATAATTTTGTTTTGTATAATTATTTTCCATAC